AGGCAGATCTTAATATTCTCCGACGGAACAAGTCTGGGAGATTTAGAGTATGGAAAGATGATGACCTGGGTCTTTTCCGCGTTGATACGGATCTTCCAGCTGTTGAAATATTCAGACAGGACATCTAGGCCTCTCTGAAGCTTGGCAGTCAGAGCTCCGGTGACCCTACTCTTGTAGACGATGGATGTGTCATCTGCGAACAGAGACAACGATCCACCATCAGGGAGGGCTGGCATATCAGAGGTGAACAGGTAAAATGGAGCCAAGGATGCTTCCTTCAGGAACCTCGGCATCGATGTTGAAAGCATCCGATGTGATGCCATTCAGAGAGACTCGGAACGTCCTGTCCGATAGATAGTTATTTATTATCTTATCTAGGAAGATTGGAAGACCGTACTGCTGCAATTTGAACATCAGGCCATCATGCCAGACATTGCCGAACGCTTTTTCAACGTCCAACAACGCCATGGCAGATGTTTTCGACACAGACTTGTTCCGTCTGAGAATGTTTGTTACTCGAGTCAGCTGGTGGACTGTGGAACGACCTTTCCGTAAACCAAACTGTTCCTCGAGTAACAAGTTGTTTTCTTCGATACATGTTAGGAGCCGGTGATAGACTGCTCTTTCGAACAGTTTTGATAACCCTGAGAGAAGGCTGATTGGTCGATAACTTGAAGGAGAAGACGGATCCTTCTCAGGTTTTCGGATGGGTATGACTTTAGCTGACTTCCAACACGAGGGGAAGTAGCCAAGAGATGGCTGTAGAATGTGGAACTCAAGTGTTTGAGATCCAGATTCAGGATGTTGTCGAAACCTGTGGCCTTCATGTTTTTAGATGATTTGATATTTGATAGCAACAGTTCTTCAGCCGTAATCTCGGATTCCTCGGGAAAAATATCTGATGGAGGTTGGTAACGTTTACAGCAACCTCAGCTTCGTGAGGGCTGACGATGTTTTGTCCGAGATTATGGGAGCTGACGAAGTGTTGACCTATCGCGGCAGCCTTCTTTTCAGGAGTTATCAGATGAACCACTGGGTCGCCGGGACTATCCAGTGGGGTCAGTGGTGGAATTGGTCTTGGCTTATTTTTTAAGGATTTTGGTTAGTTTGGTTAGGAGAGAGCGGAGCCTGTTACCAAAGTTCTGATTTCTAAGGTCTACCATCCTTGCTTGGAACGAAATAGGCAAATTACTAACTAACAAAAATGTTTGTTTATTTACTTTTTGTCTTGTGGTTTACAATTATGGTACATTTAAATTGATTTAACCCGAAAGCTCTTCATCTTTAGTGATTATGTCTGTAACAAGTTTCTGTTTGATTTTAGTTTTACATTGTAATAGTTTACACTCAGAATTTCAAGTACGCGGTGGACTGTTGAGGATCATCCTCAGGATCTTGTTCTGGATCCTTTGTAGTTTGAGGTGATGAGAATGTGCACAACTCTCCCAGATTGGCAACCCGTACTCTATGACGGGAAGGATTATTTGCTTGTAGACAGCAAGCTTGTTTTTCAGGGATAGGGTGGATCTCCTATTGATTAGCGGGTACAACGGCCTTAGCTAGATGTTGCATTTTGTTTTTGTTTTGTCAACATGCTCCCTGAAAATCAGTTTGCTGTCGAGTGTTAGCCCGAGGTAGACTACCTCTTTGGACCACTTCATCACTGTGCCGTTTAGGCAGATTTTGTTATTCTCAGACGGAACAAGTCTGGGAGATTTTGAGTGTGGAAAAATTATGACCTGGGTCTTCGCCACGTTGATACGGATCTTCCAGCTGTTGAAATACTCAGACAGGACATCCAAGCCTCTCTGGAGTTTGGTAGTCAGTGCTCCGATGACCCTACCATTGTAGACGATGGATGTGTCGTCTGCAAACAAAGACAACGATCCACCATCAGGGAGAGCCGGAATATCGGAGTTGAATAGATTGAACAGGATGGGCCCAAGGATACTTCCTTGGGGGACACCTGCACCGATGTTAAAGGCATCCGAAGTGATGCCATTCAGAGAGACCCGGAAAGTCCTGTCCGATAGATAATTTTGTATGATCTTCATGAGGAAGACCTAATCGATGCAGCTTGTACACCAGGCCATCATGCCAGACATTGTCAACCGCTTTTTCAACATCTAACAATGCCATAGCAGATGTTCCGAATATTTGTTACTCGGGTCAGTTTGTTGATCGACCAAAACCAAACTGCTCCTCTAGTAACATGTTGTTTTCTTCGGCAGATGTTAGAAGCCGGCTGTAGACTCAAGTAGTGGCATAGGCCCCGGTTTAGTTTTGAGGACTTTTGTTAGTTTCCAAAAGGGTTTTGCACAATCAGGGAGGGAACGGATATTATTGGAAAAAATTTCATTTCTGAGGTCCACCATTTTGGCTTTGCTAAGTTTGGTTAGACGGTTGGAATGGCTCTTCAAGGTAGGCAGTCCAGTTCTTTGGTACTGCCTACGCATGGAGTTATGGAGTCTGATTAGGCTTTGAGTATTCTGACCGCCTCCTCGACGGCGCACAGAGATCTATCGATGTCATCAGTCGTCTCCAGTAAGGCGCCGAAATCGATGGGTTCGTCGACGACTTGTTGGAACCGATCTCAGCTTACCCGATGGTAATTCCGACGGGAAGCATGGAATCGATTAACGGAGGAGCCACCACCGGATAGTGGTCCGAGCTTAACTCTTGGTGGGCTCCCGGTTGGGAGATGTTTTCCATGTTGCTGACGAAGATATCGATGATGGAGTGCACGCCGAACCGACTCAGCCGGGTGAGAGCGTCCGACGCCAGGATGGTGTACCGGGCCTCTTGCAGGTCGTCGTTTAGAATGGTGCCGTTCTGATTCCGCCTATGGTTGCCCCAAGCTTGATGTTTGGCATTCAGGTCGCCAGCGATGATGAACTATCCACGGCATCGTGTTATCTTGATAATATCCCTCCGCAGGTCCTCTGCGGATCCATCCCTGGCGATGGATTGTTTCGGGCAATAGGCTGCAATGATGGTGGCCCCGTCAGGTGGGGAGACTTCCACTCCCAATGCTTCAATCATTTTCAGCTGAAAACTGGGTAGCAGCCGGCAGCAGATGTTGTTCCTGGTAGCGATGAACACTCCACCACCCCCAGAGCTTGTCCGATTCAACCTCACGATCCAGTATACAGGAAGAAAAACGTTCAAAGTCACCGAACTCGATAATTTTGCTCTTGAGCGAGCAAGCGTTCCAGTTTGCGATTTTGATGAGTTCACGGTCCATAACTGAGCATGAAGGTAGCCACAGCTTGGAGCTGGTTGGATTTGTTCTTGATGGTGTTGGCAATGTCGTGCATCTTGAGGAAGATGATCATTAGTTCCGCTGCGGTGTCATAGCTGGTCGCGGTACTTGACGGCCTTGTTGTGGCGGGCCGTCTTGTGAATTTGGACCGGCTTCAGTCCATTAGCCACCAGCTCTTCCAAGTAGACGCCTGTGTCCATGTCGAATAGTCCGCGCATGACCACCTTGAACGGCTTAACATCCTCGATGTCATGGGAGAAGTACTACACCTGTGATTGGTCCAGTATGGTCTTTACCGTCTTGTAATATTTCAATGCCGGAACCATCAGTTTGTATCCTTCCGTGCACAGCTGGATGGTGCACCGGACGCCCTGCGTGATGAAGAAGGAGGGTAGCCCTTCACGTAGAAGGGCGGCATTCTTTCCTTCTTCGGCGGTCCTGTTGTTTCCGTCACCGGTTCTGCACCGTCCTTGAGAACGGAGAACCGATTGTGATCGAGCAACTTCTTCGCGGCTGTCGCACTGTCACTGTTGTCTTCAGGCCTAGACCGTTTCCCGGGATTGCCTTCATTCGCGCCACCGCGCGATTTTTTACCCATCAGCGAGAGCGTTGAAATGCCTAGTGCTCTGCAGAATGATTTTCATCCCTCAATGAAATGCATATAGTATTGGTTCAGCCCCATAACGCAAACCATTCAAAACGATGATGTAAATGATTCTATTGAACGTCATAGGCTAACTTGAGCTGATAAACGAGGTGGAGGCATAGCCATCGCTATCAGAGCTGGTACGAAAATGAATAAAGCGTGGAAACCAAGGTTTGCCTATTTCATTCGCTGCCAGACTGTTGAGCAGTGCAGTCGACGTTTTTTCTCTCGCTCTCTTTGTTCGTTCGATTGCGTTGTTCCGTTTTTTCTCACGTTGAATAGTTGAATTATGCTGCTTGCTTCTTATCCATTCCAATCGACATAATTGTTCAAATTTTTCAAACCCGTTTGAAAGCGTTTTTACAACGGTCCAAACTTCTCAGGTGAGTCGGCAGCCTCTTTTTCTTCGGCATCCTTTCCATTTGAACTACGTGTTAACCAACTGTTCTATTATCGGCAATTTGAAATCAGCCACATTTTGTAGTGCGTATATTACATTTAAACAAAAATCTTACAGAACATGATTGCTAAGTTGTAAAAATGTAATAAGATTGAAGCTGAAAGACTAAGGAATCATTTGAATATATTCAGCGAAGTGTTCTGATGGGAAAATACAGCGAAATTAACGTTTAAATTTTGGATGCCGGAAACAGTCAATGAGTGCCAAAGCTGACATTTTCCCTATGTAATAAAAAAATCACAATTTTCAGAAATTACGGATTTGAGAAAAATCATTGAATGGGGGCGACCCCGGCGTAGTGGCCTAGATTAATATTAAATAATTATCATACAAGTTTACAAGTTTAGTTAAAGTCTAGTAGACGAAATCTTTACACTCACAATGTTTCATTGGAATTTGAGAGTGTGCTGCCAACTCCATAGTCGAGTTGGCATGAAATTCGTTAATGGTAATCCCGAATCTCGTTCTGCTGGCCTACCTAGTAGAGTAAACGTTCCTATAGTTGTGGTATGTTAGAAGTGTTGGGTTGACTAGCAACTATAGGAACCTAACGTTTCTTACGTACTGCAACTATAGGACCGTTTACCCTACTGTGGATACGGAAAAAAGTGAATGTTATTTGCTGCACTTACCGTGCGAGAAGCCGAAATCCTTCGGTGGCATGTCGGTGTAGTAGCTCTGTCCAATTGCCAAACCCTTGCGCTCGAATGGGATGCCATTAGGCGAACGTTGCGCGTAGCTTTCGTCGTTCTTAATTGGATAGAGCACCTCGGGTTGGACGACCTTAATGGATTCGTTTCGCGGTGGCGCTACTGTGATGGTGGCCGCCCGGGTTCAACGTCGATCGTCGTTGGAGGAGAACGCGACGAGATGAGGTTTGATTAAATGAGAGAGAAAAAAAGAAGGGAATTGTAATCGTCGGAATTAATATTAATTAAGAGAAATTGAGACACAAAGAAGGAAAACGGTGGAAAAAAGGTTGATTTGATAAGGTTTTTTTTTCGGGGGAGGACAAAGAAACAGAAGGCCAAATCGGTGTCATTTAAATAATCCACTTACCTTCCTTTGGTTCCACTACGTGTGTTATTTGTTTCGACGGCGTGGATGGCATCGGAATTTCTGCAATTGAACAGCGTTCCAGTGGGAGTGGCAGTGAAGGTAGATGAAAATAGAAAATTGCAGTCAGGTTGGTTGAGATTTTTTTGACCTTAATTATTCTTTAGAGTGTCTGGCCTTTCATTAATCAGATTTTAAGATGTTATCAGGATTACGTTAATATCTGAAATAAATGTGTCAAAATGGTAGCCTAACAATTTCCTCTCAAAACCCATTCACGTCATCTATGCAGCAGCTCAGTAGAGTAATCGCTTTCGTCAACACTTACCGTAGACCCGTATCGATCCTTCCGTTTCCCCTAAGGAGTTTTTCGATATACATCGATAATTCCCAAAGTCACCGAGCGATAAATTCTTAATGGTCAGCTTCATATGTGCTCTGAAAGTGAGAAGTAGAAAAACACATTCAACAGCGAATGCGGCAGCATGTTGGGAAGGCATCGATGTAAAGTGGATTAATGCATTAGCTAATTTAGTGTAGCGTCCTGTCTGGGACGTTGGCTGCCGTAACTATAGCCTTGACCTGGGAGAATGGCTGATCCACGCTGTTTTTGCCACTTCAAACTCAGTATCAAGTAAGCTGGTGTGTTGAAACCGTTTTAGTTCTCTTATGTAGCTAAAAATAGCAACCAATTTTGATGATCCTTTCAGGATAAGTATTTAAGGTTCTACAAAGGGTCATTATTTTGTTTACTTCTTCCTTTTGAAATATTCTTCGATCATCATTTTCTAAATGTATTGGTAAAATTCATTGGAAGTGCATGTCCCCACGCCAAAACTGCCCATTTTTCATAAATATCAACTGGTATGGTAAGGAAAACTTAACCATCTCTTTTCTTCCTTCATTTCAATACAACAGCAAATGTGATGTCACACTATCTAGTGGATAAGCATGTAGCAGACAAAACATAAGCACTGCCAGACTGCGCTATATGCAAGTTTGTTTACACCCCTGAGCGGGAAAGTGTATAACAGGCTACGTGCACTGCTGCCATCAACCCTGTTAGTGTTGAATTCAATCTTCTGTGACTTTTTTAATTAGACCGGTAAAATGTTTAAAATGGTCATTTATACTTTATTTAATCAGTTTTTGATATTTATCCATCATTAAATACATCCACTCATCTATGTTAATAAGGCAGACTTCGCAATTAATTGTTTTAATAAACTTAAATTCATTGCTAGAGGCAATACATCTGGCACCGCTGTTTCAATGATACTTTCACGATTGCTAGCAAAGCAGTAAAGTAGAAATGGTTTTCTTTGTGATGAATTTTGTTCACCAAGAGTTTTGTGAAGCAGTTGTTTTGAGTTTCGTGTATTCGATTGCGTTTAATTGTGCTATACTTCGAAGAACACAAGTAAGTAAACACAGTGAATGTGTTTTCCCCAGGAAATTTTCGTGTTTTACCCACGAAATACATGTTTTAAATTTTCGTATTCATAATATATGAATGTATGTGTAAACTAATGATGATGATTTTATGATATTTAAAAAAGAAGAAGAACACAAAATTACTTACCCTTTGTAGAACCTTAAAGAATATTCGTAAAGCAATAATCAACGAGACTTGTTCTGATTGAGTATAATCTTTTGCAATCTTTGATCCGATGATTCCTAGACACAGTGTATACGTAGCCTTTTCTAGTAATGTGAATGGTTGTTTCGCTTTCAAGATCAGTTGCAAACAGTTTATCCCCACTAATTGCAATTGTACTTTCACAACACAAGCATCGTTTCTCGTGAATTTGCTCTCACACCCTTCAACAGACGTTCAAAGTGAAAAATGAAAACGAAAACGATTTCAGAAGCAAACGGCACGTTCAGCCAGCATCTAGCACCTTTCGATAGGAAGAGGTTAAGCGTGACGATAGTCGTGGATCAGCAGAATAAATCTCAATTACAGCGCGAAATAACTTACCGATAAGAGTTTTCGTTGTAATCGATTATAAACTTTTTGCTCGGTAGCACCATTACGGCATTGTACACCCAGTAGATGATCGCTCTGCAACAGTTGGCGGCAGCAGTAGGTGGTAGCCGTTGTTGAAGGTAGAATAAACACATCCGAAAAGAAGGCGGGAAAAGAAGAGAAAGAAAATCACAATACTCTGGTTAGCAGCAAGTGAGAAAAGTTCAATAAAAGTGGAAAACAGTGTTTTCCGGTCACGACTGTGGGATAGAAGAAGAAGAAGGCAGACTGAGGATGGGCAATGGAAGTATGAAAAGGGATCGAAGTTTTTCCCTTTGTTTGGCTTGACGAGAGCGATTTTCTCGCTCTTTAAGTCTTCGCCTGTTCTGCGCTGAGGATAAATAAAAATTGAAACTTTCAATAGCCGGTTAAACTACTGACAGTTGATGCGGGAGTTGTGGAGGGAAATGGTGTGAGAACGAGGGAAAAGTTGTTTTGACAATGAGTAAGAACTTTTATTGTGTTTACTGAAACGATCGAGGTTCGGAATCAATTTATTGGCACTTGCACTGATATTGGATTTTGATAGTTGGCTTTTGTTTTCGTCGTATCTTTTGTATTGATTTAGTGGTGGAAAGCGCAGATAAGCTTGTTTACAATTTATAGGTAGATGGGAGAAACTAATGGTCGGGAAAGGGATTTCAGTGAAACTGGTATGTTGGTAGGGTGCGAATTGAATGTAGGGTGATGGTTCAATCGTTTTTCAAGCACATACCTAGGGTGGGCTTCCGTGTGACAGTCTATCGTTACGTCAGTTGATGGAGGGGCACCCACGAGTTGATTTGGCACCCATATCATTGGAGAAACTGTAAATTGAATTAAGATTTTTTTGGGTTTATTTATATTTCAGTGATCAATTCTGTTTTAACACATCATAATCAGGAATGGTGAGCCTGAAATTAACTTATAGTATGCTATCACAACAAGTTTATTTATGCATGTCAACTTGATCTACTCAGGTTTAATCCATCTGATAAAATATTCCTTAATAGGAAACTTTTCTCTTTGCGTTTTCTCTTCATATTAGATAAATAAACCGTAAGAAACAATTTAATGAGATAATACACTTTCCAAGCAACTGGTGCAAGTAAGTTAAGTGAGAAAAGTACAGTAAGTAGCGCAGAGAAAAGAAGTAAGAATTTGAAAAGTACACTTACACTCAACGTCGAGAATAATCCGCTTAGACACTGATGGTGGCACACCATTAGTGGCGATGCAGAGATAAGCACCCATCTCGTTTCGGCTCACTTTTGTCAGATGTAGCACTTCACCGTCGTAAACCATCACTGCAAAAGAAAAAAAAAAAAACGAAGAAAAAATATGAACGTTGGTACCGAGCTGCAAAAACGAGAAAGCAGGAGATTTGGCTCAAGTGGGAAAGTTAATGCAATGTTTGGTTGGTGATGGTTTTTTCCCTGGGTAAAGAAAAATAGCAGTGGAAAAAGCAAAGTTTTTGCAATATTTTCTGGCGCTGATGAATATTGAAGCAATTAGGGACCTGTAGCTGAAATATGTTGGTTCATATATGACATAGTGGAATACTTGCGAGCATATGCCACCATTACAGCCGAGCCGACGTTTATCTTAATTGACCGGTAAGCTCTCGTTGTTTGCGGTTGGATATCATGTATGGTGCAGTGCGCTGCTGGTTGAGAGTAAGACCCTAATGAACATGGTAGTAAATTGAACCATTCATAGCTTTAGGTTGCAATTATGGTATCATGGAGAGTAGGATATCCTACTCTATATATGTCTTAAGATTATCCGACAGTTAAATTATTAATCACTGTTCGTTTAATGTTTTGCAAAAATATCATCAATGTTAGGACAATTTCCTTTCAAATTCAGTAATCTAGATCAAGGGTAGAAAGCTTTAGATTGCGGGACCAAGAGCATCATATGTAAATCAAATTAGATTAGACACGGCATAAAAATAATAATTTTTAATTCCAACGTGAAATCTGTGCTGCACAACTCTCAAAAGTTAAAAGTTATTATGATCTAACGCCAGGTCTTTTGATCATATTATTCATATCTATATTTTTACGAAAACTCTATGTTTCCTGCAACTTTGTTTAAACGTCAACCACTGCAATTATTATTCATTGTATTTATTGAATTTATTTAAACATATTGCATGAAAGAAAAAAATAAACATGTCAACAAAAACATTAAATTTTCCGTTGGTGCTTCAAACTTTGACAAGACAGACACATTTCTTAACACATTTTGTTTTCTTTCTCATCAAAGGCTCGTTACTGTTTGAAGTACATGACCTAGGTGACCTGGTGAGTACACCCTTTGTCATTTCAAAATTGTTCGGATCAGTTTAAAACTATATTTCTGCAGCAGTGTTGTTTTCATACAGCTCAAATCAATAAAAATATGTAGATTAGTTTAAACAATTTTAAACTAATTTTGTTTCACTTGTATGAGTAGTTTTTCCTTAACAAATCAGCCCTTGGTATTCTGTCTCTTCTTAGCTCTCAGTTCTGTCAGTATAACAACTTACTTGCTCCATTATAAGGTGTTTCACGCTATTTCCCTTATTTCAGCAATGCTTATTTTCGCATCAATAGCCACAAATTATATGATTTAATTATCATTTATTCACTGTATTCAATTTAATGCTCCGCGTTTGTTTTGATTGATTACATAATGTTATGATGATCGTTTTAGGTCGGCTACTTGCAGTTAGGTACGCTCCAACGGTTGCGCGTGTATTTGCAGCTACGCGTTCGGTGGTGCCGATGGTGGATTGAAGTTCCATCGAGTTCTTGAGCTCGTTAGCTCCTCAGAACAGTCCAGTTTTATCTCCTTTACGATTTCCTTGCTTGCACCTACAAAGTTCGTCCCATTGTCGGAAAAATAATCAATTGAAATTCCGCGCCTGCAGACGAAACGCCAAATGGCCATCAACAGACTATGCACGACTTCTAGGTGTATAGCTCTTGTTCAGAAACAAGCGAAGAGAGCACACCAAAGCTTTTCCGTGTGACGCCCAGGCTTGCTGAAACTCCTCAAACTCACTTGAGGTTTTAAAACACGCTTGTCCAGCGAGTTTAGCCAGCCCTCACCTCGAGTTATTGCCGGTATCCCTTATTGCCGGATCCTTATTGCCGGGCTATCCGAGAATAAGGATACCCACAGCTCATGAGATTTTCAATATTAGGGGCTGTGGTGGATTATCTCATTTGTTTGTCTTCGACAAAGTTGTTGTACTGGGATAGACCAACAAGTCTGTGTCATTGGATTCAGGTTTAATTGGGAACTACGCCGCTAGAGGCGCTTCACTTTTATGTTAAATATGACGAGCGCTATAATATATGTATCTTAGGTCCAACATAGAATATTTCGTGATCCTGGCCAAACCGAAAGTTACTGTCTTGAGCAAAGTTGTTCAGGTGACCAATTCCTTTCGTATGGTAGTCATATTATTTAAGAACTCTCTCACTTCCTTAATATGTTATGTCTGGTAAGCTTGTCCATATAAGATGTTGCTGTGCCTGAGGACATGAAACGATATAGGAATGATATGTAGAGAGGCTGTAAATCGATTTCGGACGCCATTTTAAAATCCAAGATGGCGGTCAGTGATTCAAAAAAAACTGTCAAACAACCCTACATTATGGGTATTTCCGGAAAGGGAACGACGTGTAGAGGCCAGAAATCAATGCCAGACGTCATTTTAGAATCCAACATGGCGGCGATCGATTCAAGAAAAACTGTCAAATACGCTACTATACGGGTATTTTCGGAAAGGGGACGACGTGTAGAGGCCGGAAAAGGAAGCAATCGGTTCAAGAAAACTGTTAAATACCCTACAAAGTTGATATTCCTGGAAAAGGGACGACGTGTAGAAGCTGGAAATCGAAGCCAGACATCATTTTGTAATCCATGATGGTGGCGGTCGGTTCAAGAAAAACTGTCAAATACCCTTCAATATGGGTATTTTCGGAGAGGGGATGACGTGTAGAGACTGCGTATCGATTCAAGTCGCCATTTTGGATTAAAAACTGGCGGACATCGGTTCAATAAAAACTGTCAAATTCCAAATATGGGTATTGATTTTGAATAGGGAAGGACGTGTAGAGATCAGATATCGATGTCAGACGCCATTTTGAAATTGAAGATGGCGGCCTTTGCTTTAACGTATACTATTAATAAGTACGATGTTTATAGACCCAAAATCGATGTCTGCCACCATTTTGGGATCCAAAATGGTGGACATTGGCTTTCGAAGGGACATTTAGTGGCTATGGACAGCCTCGTATCAGTTCAGCACAGTTAACGTGGACCGTGTACGGGGTAGGTTTGGCGATAATCCACTAGGAAGATGTATTTTGTCTAATTATGTTTTAGGGTATTTGGAGCTCTAAATCTTTCCTCGCTTTAATTTTCCTGAATAATGCTTACCAAGCATGTTGCATATAATTTATACACGCAAACCAAAAATTTATTACAATGAATGTTAGTTCCATTTCCTATCATCCTCTGTTCATGAACATCGCAGCGAGTGTTAGAAGTTGACCTTACAGGCGATGTAATGGGTTTTTGTCTTTTTTATTTCGTGTTCTATCTACGCTTTCGACTATACCAGTAAGCTTTTTATGTATAGCATTGTTATTACGGCAGGCAGAATGAAAAATTGAACGTTTCGGACACCGGGTTTTGAGCAGCACATAAACAAGTCTTATCGATTTAGTGCAGCTTTAAACCGCAAGTGTAATTCAGTGTATTAGGAATAGATTAACAAATTATAGGTTAGTTTACTTACACTTACGGTGTTCTACGTGTGCAAATGATACGCTTGAAATCTATGTCTGTTACTTGTTTAGGAATGTTTCTGCATGTGCTTTTAACTAGGCAAACTTCACTACTAGTAAAAAATTGAATCGTTTAGGTATTAATAAATTTTAGAATAACAAATATTCGCTGGAGTAGCCTCTATTTCGCTTGTTGCTTCGCTATCCGTTCTGTTGTTCCTCGTCGGAAGTAGTTTGTCCCCTTCTTTCCTTACTGTCACCTGTCATACGTTCAGCTGACCGTTGACAGCCGTCATCGGAGTTCAGCTGAGGCGACAACGCGGAACGCCAACCTGAAGCAGTGCACCCAGCGGCAACAATTGTAGAACGACGCACACACTTGCCTCGAATCTCTCCAGCAGAAAAAGCATACGAAACCGAGTATGAAAGGAAATGAGCGCTTCGTGTTTGCTTTTAGGCTATCCATATTCAGAAGCATGGAGAGAGTAGTGGAGAAAGCACAGGTCTGATAATCGCAACGTTGGTGGTTCGAGTGTAGTCGGCAACCTTTTTCCAATTTTTTTCAACATAATTCATTTCACTCACTAATATACTCCACATTTTTGATCTCAAATTTTCTTGCATTGGACCGCAGCTAGGTATATCGCACCCTCGGTTCATGCGGTCTCCACTAACATCCTCTGATGATGAATCCGACATAATTGTAAGCGAATCTTACATCCCCCGGTTGGGTGTATAATGTGTATAACGTATCAGTGAGCAAGATGGCAACGTTTCGACTTCCCTTAGCAAATCTTGGATTTTTGCACTCTGTTCGACATAACTGTCCAATGTGCAGAAGCTTTCGAACTCGAAGAGCTTGAGCATGAGCATGAGCATGATTGACCGCCCACGGTTGCTACTCTGTTATTGCCAGACCAGCTGTAATTACACAGAGAACCAATAGACGATGCTTGGGACTAGCAATCATCCTGGTGATCTAAAACTAGGCAATACCAGCGCCGGCCGCGCCCGAACACAGGTCAAGAAAGGAAAGGGTAGGAATGTGTTGACGTGACACTGTGAAGAAGCTTTCGAACTCGAAGAGTTGATTTATTTTGAACTCGATTTCTGCCATGGTGGGATGAAAATATAATCCATATTCATTGCAGATGAGTCCAGTTCGCTCACAATTTCATCTGCTGCAGCCGGTTCATCTCTGAAGATTTCGATGATTTCACCGTGTTTCTTATCCCCGGTGCACCAAACTTTCCGTGAATTTGTTGAATTTCGGGCATGATCTGCAAATCCTCGTTGTTGTCTTCATTTCATTGTGAATTCGCGAAATACGACGGAAGAATTTTCTTCAAGCAGTTTACCAACGTGCTTTGTTCTATGTCCTTTAGAACCACATCCAAGCAGTCGAAACAGTTATTGATGCTAAACTACTTTCGTGTATCCGCTAGTGAAAGGCCTTCATTCTCGGCTGTTTCCAGAATAAAATTGTAGCTTGACATACTTCAGCTTGAAATTTTTGATGA